CTGCATAAGGTAAGTCTGAAAACCAACTACTGAGAAGTACGTAGGAAAGGTGTACATTTCTTAAGTCGGAATCGGCCTCAAAAGAGTAGTGCCTTTTACTGGCACACAATGCAGAGAGATGTGCTCTCTGTTCGGCCTCAAAAGAATAGTGCCTTTTACTGGCACACAATGCAGAGAGATGTGCTCTCTTTGTTCGCAGGATCAACACAATAGCTGCACCATGTTTGGTTAAGGTAGGGTGTGGATGCACTTGAGTTGGGTCTTGTTTGCACCTGTCACATGGGAGCCACCTCCAGACTGGCTATACGCCCACAGGTTAGGTTACTGCTATGTGTTTATTTTTTCTTATCAGTATTAGTCAGCTATCTTCTACCAATATTATTTGTAAGACCATAATAGGCGCGAGGGTTTGGGAAAATGTTGAGAAAAATAGTGTTGTAATTCTTATGGCATGTATTCTGTTAACAAAACCAAAATCATAAGAAGTATGATAATTCAAGCCAATGTACATTTATTTACTGTCCTTCACGATTGTTTCCAATGTATGGTTTCTGAAATGGCCTTTAAATATAACTTTATTTCTGAGTTTGTGTTTGTGTGAGAAGTGTGTCAAGGCCATTGTAAGTGGGCGCAAAACGTAGTGTACAGTCAATTTGGAGCTGGATCAACTATGTATGTATTAGGCAATGGCATTTGCATTTAGGGACATGCCTGTAGTGTTCATGAGATCACACCAACTTGTGGTTTGTTTATTCTAAAGTTGAGCAATAGAGGTTATTAAATACACACAGAACTCAATGTTCCTATAGCATTGACAGTAAACCATGCCCATATATGCCCCCCCCCCCCCCCCACACACACACACACACACACACACACACACACACACACACACACACACACACACACACACACACACACACACACACACACACACTTTATTGCAGAGGCTGTACTGTGGCCGATGTTGACACACACACACACTCACTCTCACACACACGCTTTATTGCGGAGGCAGATGTTGACAGTTAGCCGTTGAGTCATGTAGGTGAATACCTTGGACTAGGAAAGGGCCCAGTGTAGGCCATGTTGACACAGCTGTAGGAGGCTAGCTGGGCTGTGTGTGTAGAGTGTTAAACTGGTTGTGTACAGAGCTGGGAACTGGGGGCTGTCTAGACATGATATCAGATATGTGAGAGGTCTCCCTACATGCTCTCGCAAGGAAAGAGGCACCATGTCTCACTTGCATGTTCTCTCACTTACAGGATGGGGGGTGAGGGATGTGTGAAGATGTCAGGGAAGGTGGTAGAGTGTTTGATTGATTAATTAATGTAACTAGAGCTTCACATGATTATTTCACATTTCGAATAGTGATCATGGGAACTGCCCCTTCCTCAACCAAGGAGTGTACTAGCTACCTACTATTTCTTGAAATACTTTGAGTAATTGCATTTTAATCTTTGAATATCACATTCAAATTAATTACATTATTTCTCAAATCAGATTAAACAATCATGTTCTTAATGTTTCAGACAAATAATCAAACTGGTAATGGTTGTCTCTTGAACTGCAAGTAAGCATTGACGTTGGACAGTGTTTACCATGTGTATCCTGTACATACAAACTTGAAACTTGAAACTTTTGCACTTGAGCAATGTTAGTATGCATTCTTCTGTGTAATGACACTAGACTTAACACAGAGAAACAAAGACAAAACTTTGTACTTTGGCATGTTCACTAAACTTCACTTAATTCTTGGTGTGACAGATTGTTATCCTATGAGACTTAAGAAAGTATTTTTTTGAATCAAATCCCATACATTTTGGTACTTAACTAAGTGTTCTTTCAAAACTTGGCCAATATAATTAGATATCAACTGTCAATAAAAGAGACAAAACGTCATATAAAAATAAAGCTTTTATTAAAATGTCATAAAGCCATTTTTCATTTGAAAACCACAGAAAGGGAGACAATGTAATTTAAGTAAAGTAATTATGATTCATAAGTTACACGGGTATATGGCATGCCGATGACATGCACAGCTTAAGTTACAGCAAACAGCACAGCATGTCACACTGCCAATGATATAGTCAGAGCTCAGATGTTGTAACAAGACCGAAATTCTATTAGAACATTTTTGTTATACGATAACCCTGTTGCTTCACATGTCAATTCAAAATGTTCTATATTGTTAACATTTCAACAACAGAATTCTTAAAACGATCTTAATTTTCATTGTGTTATACAATATAAATTAATAGAAGAAGAGGTCGAAAATATACACAACCCTTGTGTTTGAGAAATAAGATCGCAACCATGCCAAAATGTACTCCATCTTTGTGTGTCTGTCATCAGTACAACAACTTGAAAAAGGCTGCCTTATTATCTACAGTGAATATACAGTGAATATTCACTGTATTACCAACAAGTACAGTATTCCAATGTTAAATATAAAAACAAAAACAAAATGCAAATATAGTTTAGAATAAACCATATACAGTGCCTTCAGAAAGTATTCACACCCCTACACCTTTCCACATTTTGTTGTGTTACAAAGGGGGATGAAAATTGATTTTAGTTGTCTTTTTTTTATTTGTACTATCTACACAACATACACTGCAATGTCAAAGTAAAAAAATAAGTAAATCATGATTAGAGAAGTATTCAACCCCCTGAGTCAATACATGTTAGAATCACCTTTGGCTGCGATTAAAGCTGTGAGTCTTTCTGGGTAAGTCTGTAAGAGCTTTCCACACCTGGATTGTGCAACATTTTCCCATAATTTTTTTTCAAAATTCTTCAAGCTCTGTCAAATTGTTTGTTGATCATTGCTAGACAACCAATTTCAGGTTTTGCCATAGATTTTCAAGCAGATTTAAGTCAAAACTGTAAATCGGCCACTCAGGAACATTCACTGTCTTCTTGTTAAGCAACTCCAGTGTAGATTTGGCCTTGTGTTTTAGGTCCTGCTGAAAGGTGAATTAATATCCCAGTATCTGGTGAAAGCAGACTGAACCAGGTTGTCCTCTAGGATTTTGCCTGTGGTTAGCTTCAATCCGTTTCTTTTTTATCCTGAAAAACTCCCCAGTCCTTAACGATTACAAGCATACCCATAACATGATGCAGCCACCACTATTCTTGAAAATATGGAGAGTGGTACTCAGTAATGTGTTGTATTGGATTTGCCCCAAACATAACACTTTGTATTCAGGACAAAAAGTTAATTGCTTTGTCACATTTTTTGCAGTATTACGTTAGTGCCATGTTGCAAACAGGATGCATGTTTTGGAATATTTGTATTCTGTATAGGCTTCCTTTTTTTCACTCTGTCAATTACGTTAGTATTGTGGAGTAACTACAATGTTGTTGATCCATCCTCAGTTTTCTCATACCACAGCCATTAAACTCTGTAACTGTTTTAAAGTCACCATTGGCCTCATTTGGAAATCCCTAATCAGTTTCCTTCCTCTCCGGCAACTGAGTTAGGAAGGATGCCTGTATCGTTGTAGTGTCTCGGTGTATTGATACACCATCCAACGTGTAATTCATAACTTCACCATGCTCAAAGGGATATTCAATGTCTGCTTTTTTACATTTGTACCGAGCTACCAATAGGTAGAGGTAGTCATTCAAAGATCATGTTAAACACTATTATTGCACACAGAGTGAGTCCATGCAACTTATTATGTGACTTGTTAAGCACATTTTTACTCCTGAACATATTTAGGCTTGTCATAACAAAGGGGTTGAATACTTATTGACTGAAGACATTTCAGCTTATACATTTTTATTAATTTGTAAATCTTTTGAAAAAAGATTTTGTGTAGGCCAGTGACAAACAAATATCAATTTAATATATTTTACATTCAGGCTGTAACAACAAAATGTCGAAAAAGTCAAGGGGTGTGAATACTTTCTGAAGGCACTGTACATGTCGCTTTCGACACATGTTGCTTTGGCCACAGAAAAAGAAATAAACAATAATCGAGGCACAAATAGATCCCTTGATAGACCTGCTACAAAACATAATTACGATAGCTGCTACACCATTACATTCAAACTTATATTCATATTCATAGAATAACAATTGTCCTTTTCAATAGAGGAAAAATGCAGTAGCCACAATGACTGGTATTCCAGTTGAGCTGCAAGCTGGTCAGCAGTAAAGGCAATCTTAGCTATTCCACAAAATCAAGAATCCATTCTCCATCAAAACTCCTATTTAAGGCCAGGCACAACAGGCTGAAATGACATATTTGCATCTAGCTATCAATTTTGATATTTGTTGCTATTTTGGTCCATTAATATTTTCAAAAAGTAAACATAAAATGTAAAAATCTTGATGAAAATGTATATCTTCTTTAGTTTAACATACTACCATCATCAACATTTTAATGAATTTTAACCACTTTAAAATGGACATACAGCAATAATTTCAAAGCTCACTACATTAAATTACACATAATTTAAAATCCCATTTCATAGAGAATGTTACAAACTGGACTATATTTAGCTAGTAACTTACTTTGAAGAGATAGTGATTGCATTGAAATAGGCATTTGGTAGTCTAAATTCAGTGTACTTGTCTTTAACTGCCATTTCCCCTAAGTCATTCTTCCCACACGTCAGCTTCAGAAGCATCTGCATTTACAACATTTTGTTTGGTTATCCTTAGATATATTCTCCAGACCTGCCCAGAAGGAATTGTTGATATGTTGTCAATTTTGTATTTTCGAAAATGCGCCAAATGGATGTCTAATATCTTACAGATAGAAAGATTTAAAAAGTATTTATCTACAATCTGCTCTGGACAAGTCCGGTCCTGGAGTGTCTTAACAAAATGAAACCAAAATATTTAAATGTACTTTATCCAGTGTCCAGAAAAATTGATTTGCATGATATGGAAATATGAGATATTGAGATATTGCCTCGTTTGTATATTTGAATAAAATATTTCAGAATAATTGTAATACAAAAAAGGATTACATTTGTATCTACATTCAACTGGTAAAAGTTGATTGTGAAAATTACCCTATGAAGGTGTGGTGCCTAGCCTTAAGGCACTGGAGCTGCCACCTCAAAAGCGTTCTCATTTAGTAACCCCAAGATCATTCACAGTATGTCAAAATGTCCACTGTTCAGACTCTGTAAACACCACACTTGCTGAGTATCAGGCTTGAATGAAAAAATCTGATATGTTACATTGATCGCCATTATCATCTGTGCAATCAAATGCTTTCCACTTTGCAGATGGATACAGAGCTTATCCATTACAATTTGCACAACAACACTTTCACCCAGAGGGAACGCTTGATTTAAATTCTGGCACCCCTCTCAACCAAAGCTTGCACAACGATGCACATTAATGGCACAAGAGCCAAGACAGGAGCTACCGCTCCAAATTAGAGATGCTCACTGCCTGCCCACCAGTGTAGTGACTGTCAGTGCACATCACTCAGTGCCACCTGTTTAATGACCAGAAATGACCTTCAGGTGGCCTGTACCATTAGCAACTTTTGCTAGGTTGGGGTAGTGAAGCCCCATTGACTCCATCTCCAACCCCTTCCCTTTCGATAAAACGGCAGTTGATTCAATCCTCAGTGTCAGGCTGGACCCCCAGCATGATGTGGAGCTCTTCGGCAGAGTAGCCCAGAAGGTTCTGCAGGTCGCAGACGAAGCGGTAGACGTAGCGCTTGCCCGAGGTCTTGTGGATGATGTTCTTGTCGTAGTAGTATCGCAGGCCACGGCTCAGCTTCTCGTAATTCATCTTGGGCTTGTTCTTCCTGCGGCCCCAGCGTCTAGCAACCTGGGGGAGAGCGAGAATGATAAACACCAATGGAAAACAGAACCATTTACTTCATATTGATGTCCTTTGATAGCTCTTGTGATGAATACTTTTCTGGTCCTGTAAACCCTTGTGGCCATCTCCTCCACAACCTGATATACACATATTGTATGAGGCCAATTGACACTCACCTCATCTGTGTCGGTGAGTTTGAACTCCCAGCCGTCTCCGGTCCAGCTGATGATGGCCTGACAACTCTTATCAGTCAGGAGCTCCAGCAGGAACTGCCACAGCTGGATAGGACCACTTCCTGTTGAGAGGAAAAAATAGGCAGAGGAGTCAGAAGGCGATCAAGAGGCATTGTTTGTGTATACTCAACTGCAGTGTACTGTTTTGAACTGGGGTTGAAATTGGGGTTGACAGAGAGATGGATAGTATTCCATACAAGATGAATGGGTTTGATTGTGTCACCGGGTTCATGAACTCACCAGTGAAGCCAGCCAGCACGGCAGCAGCTATGACAGGCTTTCCCAATTCCACAGGCTCGTTCCTCTCCTGGATGTAGTCCTTGAAGGACAGGCCCTGCTTCCCCAGACTCAGTGTGCTGCTATTGTACTCGTCCTCAAAGCTGTCGTGGGACGGCACCCTCTGGTTGTCCGCCAGGGAGGATTGGCTGCCCCAGGAGTGCAGCATGGACTCTGGCCCCTCAAAGCTGTCCACACTCTCCAATGAACACAAACTCTGGTCTTGGGACAAGACTGTTGATAAACAAAAAAGAGGAATGGTTAGTTCACCTGAAACTGGATCAGGTTTAGGAACTATCACTGAATTCAAAAATCGTTTGGGAATCGCTTATGTGTTGCCTTGTTTTTTTCTCTAATGTGACATTGATCGAAAATGAACACTAATTAACATTGATTAATAGCTTCTAGACAACAGTGGGTTGGCCTACTCACAGGCTTTGGAGAGCTGCCCTGCACCTGGGTTGCTGCTGACGTAGCTGACGTTGACCGTGCTCAGCTGGGGCTTGGAGAACATGGAGAACTCCTGATCTGGAGTCAGCAGGGCGGTCTTGTCTGAGGTCTCAAACAGCTCTCTCAGCAGACTGTCGCTGTTGTCAGGCACCTGCAGGGCGCACTGGGTCTCCTCCAGACTGAAGCCTGCAGAAAGAAGAGAAGAACAAACAAATGCCCACTTAGCTCATCTCATCACACCCACCTCAGAGACATCTCTGGACAGCTTCAGGCTTCTGTTGTTCAAATGAAGCTGAAGCCACACTGTTTTGTCTATCTGATGTTTAATTAGATTTGAAGCCTCTGATGGTTAGTTTGTTTTTCTAATGGACACTAACCGCTAGAGCTCATCCAGTTGGTTCCTGAGGGCACAACACTGCTGAGGCTTATGGGTTCTTCTCTCTCTTGACACTCTGGAAGAAAACAATGGAGGACAAAAGTCAGGAACCATCAGTTATTTGTTTTTGCGTGTATCTTTCAGCCAAAGGGTACAGTAATTCTACAGGAATATAACTACCCTAATATAACATTTTGATAGGTGTCAGAAAAATGGAAATGGCTCCACCTACTCTTTCCGCCATCTGCCTTCCACACGAACACCATCTGACTAAAACGTTCCAACGCCATTGTTACCTTTCATCATCTGGTCCAGGTGCTCCCACAGGATGTCGCCCACGAAGTCTGGGGCCAGGTCCAGGAAGCTCTCCTTACCCAGGTCATACAGCTCCTGGCCGTTCATGTCAAACTTAAAGAAGTGGACGTTGGCCAGGCTGAACTCACTGGCCGCCCAGTGGAGCCACTTCATCACATGCTGCTTGGTCCACTTACGAAGGTCTGTGAACGAGAGAAAGTAAAAAAGTGACAAAAAATTACTAAAAAGTTCAAGCACAATTCCATGGACACCTCACCTAAATACACCGGTCTTCGACTTGATTTGACTTAACTAGGCTTACTTTTTAATGATTAAAGAGTTCAACATGCAACAGGTGGGACAATTTCATACAAAACATGGTGTTACAGAGTAGAAAGCAGGAGCTAATCTATTGTTGAAGCTGGGCTGAGTACAAAGCCTTCGAAAATGAGCCCAAAATGACTTTGACCTCCAATCCAAATTGGGTAGAAAATTAGTAGGACATACAGCAAGGAAACGAGCAAAAAGTGAACTTAATGTCATCCTTGTAGAAAAAATAGAAATAGACTAGAAATGAAGAAAAAGAGAGGACAATAAGTGATAGAATGAGCAGGTGTAGAAGGGGACTCACTGTTGGAGATGCCATAGCAGCGTTGGACCTTGGAGAAGCCACTGAAGCTGTCCTTCAGGGCCTGACTCATCACTGCCTTACTGCACGGGGTCAACAGGGGAACAGAGCAGGAGCCCATGTCTGGAGAGAAAAAACAAATGTTTGCTTACTCTATGAATCAACCTTTCTAGACCTTTCTTATGTAATAACATTGTTTTAACAGTGTCATAATATTGTTTAATGTTCGGACAGCACCCCCCCCCCCCCTTGCACCCCTCCTCACCCCAACCCCCTAAAAATAATAAATGCCTTTCATGAACTAACACTCGCACTTGACTTTGCTACTTTATTGAGGAAAAATATACTTACTATGACTGTGATATGTGGTTGGCCCACCTAGCTATCTTAAGATGAATGTACTAACTGTATGTCGCTCTGGATAAGAGTGTCTGCTAAATGCCCAAATATAAATGTAAAAAATATATATTTATATAGGGTTCAGGCAGTTTAGATGGGCTAACTGCCATGGACCTGGATGGGAGTTTCACTTTTGGGTTCTGGATAATTGTTAACCACAAACTATGTTAACCACAAATCAACACCTGTTAATCTGTTAATAATTAATTAAAATCGTTCATATGCCAGCAATCAGTTGATCTACATTGTTAACTTTGTGACATCATGTCTGGCAAATAACTGACTAATAGAGTTGTGAAGAGTTTGGTCTGACTTTGGGCTTGGGTGATTAGTTGGTATAGGTGTTATGAAAGTGACTGGTGTAAAGTAGAGGGCTAAAGTGATGTGGCACTCGTTGGTAGGGTGTGGTGGTGGCATACCGTGTGAGAAACAGTTGAGGGCAGAGGGCACCTCCTGAAGAGACTGCTCATCGTCTGAGGGGAGGAAGTATCCAGAGAACAGAGACATGGGATCTTCAAACAGGTCAAATGCTGCCTGCCGCTGTAGAGGACAAACACATAGGAAAACAACACACTGTTAGTAAAATAAATAAATACACAAATTGTTTTCTTTGGCCTGATAATTTGAGAAAGCCCCATACTACTGTATGTCTACATAATTGGATAAATTAGGTGAGACAAGTATAGCCCTGTCCTGATGACCAACAGCTGATCACCCACAGATACTGTGAATCACTTAGGAAAAACTTCATTAACTTCTTCAGACAGTCTTATAATGTGAGATAAAGGCAAAAGATAACAGGGCAGGCAAAAGCAAAGAGAGAAAAATACTTTATGTGGGCACTCCCTTTCAGTAGAACATCTGTCATCATCAGTCAAACACATCAGGTCTTTCTCATTCTCCCAGCCAGGCCATGAACCACTGGGAGAGGACGACCATATATGGTCTTCCTGTTCCGTAGCATAGCAGACCTAGAAACTCCCCTTGAGGCAGCTGGCATCAGTTCAGCTCTAAGGGTTCACACAAACAGCGTGGGCGGCTGCTTTGTGAGAAAAAAAACTTTACCCCCTCCTCCTCCCCCTCCCTCCCTCTATCTATCTCTACCTTTTCCCTCTCTCTCATCCCCCCTCTTCAAATCAGGTTAGGGAAACCAGACTCTTCTTCACAATTTGATTAGCTAAGATGGAGCCCTTTTGAGACAAGCGCACTGTTTGAATCTGCACTGTACCCATCTCTGCATTAGCCCTTTACAGATGCAGATGAGACTTCTAATGACGTTATACTACCAAGCCGCACATGAAACCTTAACAAATCACTAGGACATTGATAATAGAGATGTACGCTAAAGTGCCATAGGTGCGCCTGTAAGTCTAATACTGTAAGGCACTTATGATATTTTATTTTAAAAAATTGACCGCTAACTCCCCACACTCGAGGTGGAGAACCAAACACCATCTCCTTTGATCCATAAAGTGTTTCATGATTAGTCTATTCGTTCCTTTGAAAAGGTAGGCTGGCACAAACAGGGCCCTCAAGGTCCTGAGAGCCTTTTTTCTTCCTAGTTGCCAAGGGGACGAATTACATTAGTGGCAGTAGAGAAGGTGGAAAGACAGAGCCTCTCCTCTATCAGCTCCCCAATTATCCTCACGTTTAACATGTCTGGCTTAGTCCTCTTTCCTTTAATCTCTTCTCTTATGGTTAAGGAGAAGGAGAATAGCAGCCACAAGTGTGCTGCGACACATGCAGGATTTGAAAATAAATCTCTGCTGACATTTGATCTTTGGAAATCGTGCTTTGTTAACTAAGTAGCCTTGAGTAAAGGGTGGTCCAACTCCAGTCCTGGAGAGCAAATGGGGGTGCAGGCTTTTGATCCAACCTTGCATTATCAGTTGTGATACAGTAGTCATATATGTACTATACACAACCATCTCCAGCACTACAATGTATGCAATTGTCCTACTCATCTACTGTATTAGTGGCACAGCCTTGTGAAGTCTCACCTTGAGGCTGGAGCGGTAGCCAGTGGACAGGGGGGCCACTTGGTCCATGCTGAGGTCACACATCAGGAATCTACAGGTCAATTCAACAGAGAAACTTTATGAGCAACACTAATAGACATCAGTAATAACATCACACTTGATGGAAATCAGTATCATATATTTCTCTGATGGTTGTAATACATTTAATTCCCATGCAGCCTATAGATGAACTGTTCTCCTAAATAGTAACAACTGAATTTGCAATGTATACATATTATATTACAATGTCTTATTATATACCGAGCACATAATGGCTTAATAGAGCTTAAATTGTGTTAGGCTATTAAATGATAATACATAATGTACATAAAGCCTGCACATTGAATTCAATAGTATAATGGTCATTGACACACTTATCCAAAGCAACCTGAACATATTGCATATCGATTTGGCTAGTTTGGGGAATTACTTACACACCATCATTTCTATGACATCACAAATTGCTGAGACAGAAAAAGCGCATAATTCTCTCATCGGTCATACATTTTATGGTTCTCCGAAATGGTGGTCCTTCATATTAGATTAGCGGCCGCAAATTCAATAGTGTTTCCATTGACATAGCCATATTCAATAATTCGTAAAGATTAATATCAGTGATAAATTAATAATTACCCCAACATAAACTATGGAATGGATTTATCTTTGCGAATTCCACTACCATTTTTTTTCTCGCAAATGTAATGCAGAACAAAAACTAACTATTCAGGAACGCGGTATTGAATCAAATGCCACATTGACATATTGTCTGGGAATATATCAAAGAACGAGAGAAGAGAGACAAATAAGGGACCAACCTACCTACCTGTTGAATTGATCGGCGGCTCCTTAAAACAGCAAATTGTAATCCTTTTCGAAATGGAAAAATTATCCTATTCAATGTTATATGTTCGCAGGCCTATACTGTCTTTTATTATTTGTAGCCTACTTTCCAGATACACTAACCAATGTAAAATCAAAACAATGCAGTCTTGTTTCTTCGTGTGTCTGTGTGACGAGTGTATCCAGTCAATGAGGAAGCGCAGCTCTTTCTGCTGTTTTCATAGCGCGCTGTGTTGCTCAGTCAGTGGGAGGAGCGAGCAGTAAACCATTGGCCAGTAGCGGTGCGTGGGTAAAATCCCTCATGCCAAGCCAGGAGGAAAAAGCCATATTACAAACTACACTACAGGTCAAAAGTTTTAGAACACTGACTCATTCAAGGGTTTTTCTTTATTTTTACTATTTTCTACATTGTAGAATAATAGTGAAGACATCAAAACTATGAAATAACACATATGGAATCATGTAGTACCCAACAAAGTGTTAAACAAATCAAAATAGCCACCCTTTGCCTTGATGACAGCTTTACACACTCTAATAAAATAAAATAAAATCAAGGGAGGCCATTCAATGCTACGGGCGGCAACATTATCAAACTCTTTTTGACCAAACAGTATAAGATAGATGAGCTACACATCCAGAGACAGAGGGGCGCTGTTTCGCTCGCGTGGATGCTTTCTCCGATGTGATACATTCAGCCTATTGCGAATTGAAGGAAAATTATGAAAGAGAGATGAAACATAAATTATTTTATGTTTTCTTTTTTTATTGGTCAATTATTTGGGGAAGTCTGGCTTCCTTTCGCATCCATGAATATACGCCACTGCAATTGGCAGCCCGTGACCCTCAACGGCCCGTTTAGTAGGAAGCGGCATCCTGCACTGAAACATTGGATAAATCCTCTGTCACTGGCCGTTTACGCTATACAAATGGCACTCACGTAGCCACGCTAGCCTCACCCTCATGTGGGTGCTAACAAGCTAGCAAACAAGCTAGCAAGAAGCTGAGGTATAACGTGGTCCTGGTTCCAGGGACATCACCGGATAGAAAGTCCAATATGGCTGCCAATGCAGTGCCATACATGGACATGTGTATGTGACAACCGAACTCAGTAGCTCTACCCTCATTGGTCTTAACAATTTGTTGATGTTTTTTTTGCATTTAGCTTGTGACCCTATCCCCTCCTCTCTTCTCCAGACCATTTCCGGAGACCTTCTCCCTTACCTCACCTTGCTCATCAACTCATCCTTGACCGCTGGCTACGTCCCTTCCGTCTTCAAGAGAGCGAGAGTTACACCCCTTCTCAAAAAACCTACACTCGATCCCTCCGATGTCAACAACTACAGACAAGTATCCCTTCTTTCTTTTCTCTCCAAAACTCTTGAGCATGCCGTCTTTAGCCAACTCTCTTGCTATCTCTCTCAGAATGACCTTCTTGATCCAAACCAGTCAGGTTTCAAGACTGGTCATTCAACTGAGACTGCTCTTCTCTGTGTCACGGAGGCTCTCCGCACTGCTAAAGCTAACTCTCTCTCCTCTGCTCTTTTCCTTCTAGACCTGTCTGCTGCCTTTGATGCTGTGAACCATCAGATCCTCCTCTCCACCCTCTCCGAGTTGGGCATCTCCGGCGCGGCTCACTCTTGGATTGCGTCCTACCTGACAGGTCGCTCCTACCAAGTGGCGTGGCGAGAATCTGTCTCCGCACCACTTGCTCTCACCACTGGTGTCCCCCAGGGCTCAGTTCTAGGCCCTCTCCTATTCTCGCTATACACCAAGTCACTTGGCTCTGTCATATCCTCACATGACCTCTCCTATCATTGCTACGCAGACGACACACAACTAATCTTCTCATTTCCCCCTTCTGATAACCAGGTGACGAATCGCATCTCTGCATGTCTGGCAGACATCAATCAATTTCAATCAATTTTATTTTATATAGCCCTTCTTACATCAGCTAATATCTCGAAGTGCTGTACAGAAACCCAGCCTAAAACCCCAAACAGCTAGTAATGCAGGTGTAGAAGCACGGTGGCTAGGAAAAACTCCCTAGAAAGGCGAAAACCTAGGAAGAAACCTAGAGAGGAACCAGGCTATGAGGGGTGGCCAGTCCTCTTCTGGCTGTGCCGGGTGGAGATTATAACAGAACCATGCCAAGATGTTCAAAAATGTTCATAAGTGACAAGCATGGTCAAATAATAATCAGGAATAAATCTCAGTTGGCTTTTCATAGCCGATCATTAAGAGTTTGAAAACAGCAGGTCTGGGACAGGTAGGGGTTCCATAACCGCAGGCAGAACAGTTTAAACTGGAATAGCAGCAAGGCCAGGCGGACTGGGGACAGCAAGGAGTCACCACGGCCGGTAGTCCCGACGTATGGTCCTAGGGCTCAGGTCTCTCAGTTGGCTTTTCATAGCCGATCATTAAGAGTTGAAAACAGCAGGTCTGGGACAGGTAGGGGTTTCGTAGCCGCAGGCAGAACAGTTGAAACTGGAATAGCAGCAAGGCCAGGCGGACTGGGGACAGCAAGGTGTCATCATGCCCGGTAGTCCTGACGTATGGTCCTAGGGCTCAGGTTCTCAGAGAGAAAGAGAGAACGAGAGAATTAGAGAGAGCATACTTAAATTCACACAGGACACTGGATAAGACAGGAGAAGTACTCCAGGTATAACCAACTAACCCCAGCCCCCCGACACATAAACTACTGCAGCATAAATACTGGAGGCTGAGACAGGAGCGGTCCGGAGACACTGTGGCCCCATCCGAAGAAACCCCCGGACAGGGCCAAACAGGAAGGATATAACCCCACCCACTCCGCCAAAGCACAGCCCCCGCATCACTAGAGGGATATCCCCAACCACCAACTTACAATCCTGAGACAAGGCCGAGTATAGCCCACAGAGGTCTCCACCACAGCACAAACCAAGGGGGGGGGCGCCAACCCAGACAGGAAGATCACGTCAGTAACTCAACCCACTCAAGTGACGCACCCCTCCCAGGGACGGCATGAAAGAGCACCAGCAAGCCAGTGACTCAGCCCCTGCAACAGGGTTAGAGGCAGAGAACCCCAGTGGAGAGGGGAACCGGCCTGGCAGAGACAGCAAGGGCTGTTCGTTGCTCCAGCCTTTCCGTTCACCTTCACACTCCTGGGCCAGACTACACTCAATCATATGACCTACTGAAGAGATAAGTCTTCAGTAAAGACTTAAAGGTTGAGACTGAGTCTGCGTCTCTCACATGGGTAGGCAGACTGTTCCATAAAAATGGAGATCTATAGGAGAAAGCCCTGCCTCCCGCTGTTTGCTTAGAAATTCTAGGGACAATTAGGAGGCCTGCGTCTTGTGACCGTAGCGTACGTATTGGTATGTACGGCAGGACCAACTCGGAAAGATAGGTAGGAGCAAGCCCATGTAACGCTTTATAGGTTAACAGTAAAACCTTGAAATCAGCCCTTGCCTTAACAGGAAGCCAGTGTAGGGAAGCTAGCACTGGAGTAATATGATCAAATTTCTTGGTTCTAGTCAGGATTCTAGCAGCCGTATTTAGCACTAACTGAAGTTTATTTAGTGCTTTATCCGGGTAGCCGGAAAATAGAGCATTGCAGTAGTCTAACCTAGAAGTAACAAATGCATGGATTAATTTTTCTGCATCATTTTTGGACAGAAAATTTCTGATTTTTGCAATGTTACGTAGATGGAAAAAAGCTGTCCTTGAAACAGTCTTGATATGTTCGTCAAAAGAGAGATCAGGGTCAAGAGTAACGCCTAGGTCCTTCACAGTTTTATTTGAGACGACTTTACAACCATCAAGATGAATTGTCAGATTTAACAGAAGATCTCTTTGTTTCTTGGGACCTAGAACAAGCATCTCTGTTTTGTCCGAGTTTAAAAGTAAAAAGTTTTTTGCCATCCACTTTCTTATGTCTGAAACACAGGCTTCTAGCGAGGGCAATTTTGGGGCTTCACCATGCTTCATTGAAATGTACAGCTGTGTGTCATCCGCATAGCAGTGAAAGTTAACATTATGTTTTCGAATAACATCCCCAAGAGGTAAAATATATAGTGAAAACAATAGTGGTCCTAAAACGGAACCTTGAGGAACACCGAAATGTACAGTTGATTTGTCGGAGGACAGACCATTCACAGAGACAAACTGATATCTTTCCGACAGGTAGGATCTAAACCAGGCCAGAACTTGTCCGTGTAGACCAATTTGGGTTTCCAGTCTCTCCAAAAGAATGTGGTGATCGATGGTGTCAAAGGCAGCACTAAGGTCTAGTAGCACGAGGACAGATGCAGAGCCTCGGTCTGATGCCATTAAAAGGTCATTTACCACCTTCACAAGTGCAGTCTCAGTGCTATGATGGGGTCTAAAACCAGACTGAAGCATTTCGTATACATTGTTTGTCTTCAGAAAGGCAGTGAGTTGCTGCGCAACAGCTTTTTCTAAAATTTTTGAGAGGAATGGAAGATTCGATATAGGCCGATAGTTTTTTATATTTTCCGGGTCAAGGTTTGGCTTTTTCAAGAGAGGCTTTATCACTGCCACTTTTAGTGAGTTTGGTACACATCCGGTGGATAGAGAGCTGTTTATTATGTTCAACATAGGAGGGCCAAGCACAGGAAGCAGCTCCTTCAGCAGTTTAGTAGGAATAGGATCCAGTATGCAGCTTGAAGGTTTAGAGGCCATGATTATTTTCATCATTGTGTCAAGAGATATAGTACTAAAACACTTAAGTGTCTCTCCCGATCCCAGGCCCTCGCAGAGCTGTGCAGATCCAGGACAGCTAAGCCCTGGAGGAATACGCAGATTCAAAGAGGAGTCCGTAATTTGCTTTCTAATGGTCATGATCTTTTCCTCAAAGAAGTTCATGAATTTATCACTGCTGAAGTGAAAGCCATCCTCTCTTGGGGAATGCTGCTTTTTAGTTAGCTTTGCAACAGTATCAAAAAGAAATTTTGGATTGTTCTTATTTTCCTCGATTAAGTTGGAAAAGTAGGATGATCGAGCAGCAGTGAGGGCTCTTCGGTACTGCACGGTACTGTCTTTCCAAGCTAGTCGGAAGACTTCCAGTTTGGTGTGGCGCCATTTCCGTTCCAATTTCCTGGAAGCTTGCTTCAAAGCTCGGGTATTTTCTGTATACCAGGGAGCTAGTTTCTTATGACAAATGTTTTTCGTTTTTAGGGGTGCAACTGCAT